GACCACGTTCTGGTCCAGAACCAGCTCTGGACCAGCTCATGACTCGGAGTTCACTGCAGAACCTTTCAGCTCTGAAAATGTCCATTTGACCCGTTCTCAGGCCCAGCTGCTGTCAACACCTTCCAGATGTTTCCTCAGAGCAGGAACCCGGGTCAAACGGGCAGAACTGGACTGCAGCGTGTGCTCGTCGTCACGCGTGTTTGAAGCGGTGAAACAGGCGATGCTGCAGGAGCGCGGCGTCAGGAGCCTGCAGGTTGCTAGGCAACGCAGGCGCCTCTCTTCCCGACGTCCGAGCACGAAGCTGCCGTGACGGACCGGCGGTTCTGAAGAACCCGCAGCTCCGGCCGTTTGGATCGACACCACACCAACAGGCTCCTGGCCCACACCGGGTTCTGATGGGCCACATGACGCAGCAGCTCCACACACAACAACACACAGCGCCGCGCCTCCTCACCTCAGGGAGGAGGAGGAGGGGGACCTACCAGCAGGCGGCGGTGGAGCCGTTTGGTCCTCCTCAGGGTGCCCATGATGCGGCGGCCCATCTTCTTGGCGTACCACACCGAGTTCAGCATCCTGCCGCTGCTTCGTGCCGCCTCCTCCTGCTCCTGCTGCTCCCGCTGCGGGCTGCAGAGCAGACGGTGGGAGGGGGGCTTCACTCCACCTTCTGCACCCCCCTCCTCTTCCTCCTTTCAGACACGAAAAGGGAGGCTGCGGCGGAGCAGCAGGAGGAGGTGCTGCCACTTGAAGAGGAGCTCAGAGGCTAAGGAGCAGCCTCCTTCTGTCTGAGGAGGACGGCAACAACAGACTGCAGGGCTGACGTCCTCTGATCTCTCTGCAGTCTGAAAACATCACGCACCTCCTTCCTCCTCCTCCTCCTGGACCAGCTGACCTCTGTCCCACTTCAGTCCAAAACAAACAAATCGACGGGGAAACCGCTGAGTAATCATGGCAGTGATTGACAGCTGGGAGAGCAGAGGAGGTGGCGTCACAACTGCTCCTCGTTAGGAGGCGCAGATGACGAGGAGCAGAAACCGTCTATTAATAGATTCTAATTTACCGACACGTTTTAAACGTAGGAGAAGCAGAGGTGGACCCAGTATCTCTGGAGGACCGCAGCACAGATTTATTTTATACTAATTTAACCAGATAAAAGAACTTTACCTTCAGTTAAATAACGTTTATTTACAGCATTCAGAAGAAGTTGGAAAATTAAAAAGATCAAGTAAATGGTACATGGACTGTACTTATCTAGCGCCTTACTATCGTTTCAAGACACTCAAAGCTCTTTACAACAATCTGTGCCTCACTGACCCATTCATACAGCTCTATACTAGATCTCTACAAAGATAATTGAACAAATCCTTCTAAAGAGACTGATCAGAGATTTATCACATTCAGACACTGATGGACACACATCAGAGGCTGTGAGGGGTTCACTGTCTTGCCCATGGACACGTCGGCATGTGACTGCTGGTGGATTGGAACCCCCAACTCTCGCATTGGAGGACGACTGCTCTAACCACTGAGCCACAGCCGCCCCTACAGAACTACAGTTTGGGCTACAGTGAGCTGTAGCAGCTGCTACTGCCCTCTTAAGGCAGAAGACGATTTTTAATCCGTTTATTAAAACTCGACTCGTCTTCAGACGTAAATCTGTGATTTTACAGCGGCGGAGCGTCACGTAGTGAGCCAACGTAAAAATCAAAGAACACAGACGTTACAGATAAGAACATCACTCACAGGAACACAGCAACACGTGAGAAATTAAAAATGCATTTATAAAGGGATTTCTATGTGGTCAGTCTGCCCTCAGGAACACTAGAGGGCAGCAGAGTCACAGACGGAGTATTCTCTGCAAAATGGCCGCACAGCCCGTCACGGATCACAGGTGAAGCCGCCACGTCCCACTCTCATGTGGCTTTTGGGCAGAACCAAACGAGGCGGAGCAGAACTCTGCGGTAGAGCTGTGACTTCTAACCCGGGCCCAGCCCGACCCGGTCCGAATTTCAAGTCGGGCCAAAATAATGTGTTTGATGGGCGGGGCGGGCTTTTGCTGCGGTTTTAGAAGTGACAGCGTCTTTTTTCTTGAGTGTGCACCTGCTGAGAAGGACCTGGCGTGAGGCCGTTGTCCTGGATTACCTGCAGATTATTCTTCATGCTGAGTTTGGATCGCGGTGGATTATTTTTTCTTACCCAGGACTGCAGCGGAGGAACTGTAAAGCCTAAGGACACTGCGATCTGGCGAGATCGTTTCCTTTCATTTCGGCGTGCCGACGCCTAGACAGAGTGGGCGTGTCCTTCGTGAACTTTCCTTCAAGTCAAGTCAGATTTATTTATAGAGCACATTTACAACAGAAACTGTTTCCAAAGTGCATCCTCAAGGAGGATGGTTGGACTAAAAGTTTGATCACCTTGTTGTGATTTATGGGGTTTTGGGGATTTCATGTGTTGATATGGTAATGCTGTGGGATGAAGCGTTTGGGGGGTTTGTGGGGCACGAAGGCTTGATTCAATTGTGTAAACTGCTTTAAATGTTATCCTTCGTGGCCAATCATTTATTTATGAGCTTTCTGCCTGTGCAGGTAAATTATTTCCTGTTAACTGTACTTGGTGATTCCTTCACCTCAACCAATATAAGTTTATGCGCCGTCAGCTCCAGGCACTGCCCATGACTTAGTGTTTTAGGTAATTAATCCCATTACCTTAGTTTTGGGGGCGGGTTGTTACTGAAGGACAACCGGATCATCAGCCGTGCGTCCGCTGACCGCTAACAACTATACTAACCATAATCATCCGCTGACTCGTTAACAAACAAGAAACCTGATCTCTTCCTTTCTCTGAAATACATTTTAAATCATGTCGAACTGATTTTCTTACAAAAGCAGTAAAAGCTTAATAATTTTATTTTATTATTTTTTTATTTTTCCGGGTTCGACCTGTAATCACAGTTAATTGGTCGGTCTTGGGTCGTGCTCAGAAAATATGATACAGGTTTGGATCCGGGCCGGGTTGGATTTTTTAGGCTCGAATTCAACTCTACTCTGTGGTGCTGAAGCGAATAGTGATGCTTTCAATGAGTGTAGGACGTTTCACTCGTGTCATTTGAAATGAGTAAACTCACTTTAACGATCGTTTAGCCACGTTAATGAACTAACTGCAAAGTAGTTGTGTGTCATCGTCAATAATCCCTCGGTAATCAGTGTCATCGTCAATAATCCCTCGGTAATCAATCTGCTGTTTCATCAGACGAGCGGGCGGTAACAACGTCAACAGTTCATCACATTACTGAGCCGCAGCGTTGAGCGTCTTCTCATTTATTTGTCTGTTTCTGTTTCAAGAGCAAAAAATAAAAGCATGACTGATTTTTCTCCATGAGAGCTTGTCTGTGAGTATATTTGTTTGGGGGCTCTTAATGTGAAAGGCTTGTTGTGAGTAATGCTGTTGAGTAAATAAAAGTTTTATTTTTATTAATGCATCTCGACATCAAACCTGCAGATATTTGTGAATAAAAACTGAATGCAATGATGTGGAGGTGCCAACATCTAATATTTTATTCAGAATAGAACACAAATCACAGATCAAAAGTTTAAACTGAGAGAATGTTTCATTTTAAGGGAAAAATCTGTTGTTTCCAAATTTCATGGCGTCAACAAATCCCAAAAAAGTTGGGACAAGTCCATTTTTCCCACTGTGTGGCATCCCCCCTTCTTCTTCCAACACTCAACAGACGTCTGGGGACAGAGGAGACCAGTTTCTCCAGTTTAGAAATAGGAATGCTCTCCCATTCATGTCTAATACAGGCCTCTAACTGTTCAATC